GTAGGGATGGTCAATGGCCATCTGGTGATGAAGAACAGACAGTTGTCTGTCTTGCCTGTGTATATAGCTAGCTAGTTGGCTGAGGCCTCTGTGGTAAATTGAGTAAGGGGCTCCAAGGAAAAAGAAAAAAAATTATCTGTACTCTGTCTTGTGAGGGGCATCAGTTGTCCCATGGAGGACAGAAGCTCACAAAGTTATTTGCCTTTCTTGCATCTTTATTGAATTGCCCAGTCCTGAGCCAGGGGCAAGAATGCACATGGTCAGCCAGTATTTCAGTTGTGATTCTTCCCCCTGCCCTCTCTCCCCACTGTCCTTTGTTCAACTTAGGGCTGGGAGACAAGTAGCTGCAGTTCACTCTCTTTCTTGGCTCAGAGAGGAGCCTAGCAACACAGCCTGAGAAACCTCTCGGTAAAGCTAGCGGCTCCTTTTTGTAAGGGAGAAGTAATAATCAGCACTGTACAAACCAATAGACTTTGTTCTTAGTCCGCCCACCCTATGTGTTTTGAGCCAATAGTGACAGTGTGAAACAAAATTCATGTCAAAATCTTTGTTGTAGTCACCACTGATAAATATCCAGGGACTTTCCAGGAGTTCACCGCCATCACATAAATGTGTCAAATTTCCTTTCTTTTGGAAAGCAGGGAAATCTGTTCTAGCTTTGGGGCAGGGGAAGGAAAGGAAATGTGATGCACTGCATCATCATCATCATTTTGTATTATTTATCTTGTCCAGAGGTTTCATACAGCTGTTAATTGGCATGGGGGAACCAGGTGGAATTCCTGCAGGACACTATAGGATGTGGCCCTCCAGGTGTTAATGGACTCCAGCTTCCATCTGTCCCAACCAGCATAGTCAATGGTCATGGATGATGGGAATTGTAGTCCAACATCTGGAAGGCAGTGGGTTAGCAAGTCCTGCCCTAGGCCAATGGCCAAAGTATAGAACAGGAGTCTCCCTCCCCCCACCTAATTTCCCCCAATTTACTGGAATATTCCCATATCAGATAAATTCAAATTTACAGGAGACGGACATCAAGATTGGTGTTAAGGGTAGCACCATGTGGAATATGTTGATTAAATGGGAATGCAAAAAGCTGCAAACACTCTGGTGTGGACAAGTCCTTTTTATGCCACAAATGTTCTGGTTTTGTTTGTCTTTTGTTCCAGTTTTGTTGAGCTACAGCACAAGAGAGCCCCTCCGGACAGCAACAAAGCAGTATCATTGGAGAAGTATATGGAATGATGTGTGGATGCTCCAGCATAAATCCACCACTGTTGCATGATTATTGCATCAAGGACATGTTGAAGAATCCACCTGCAAAAAGACCCTCAGGTACCCATTCATAGCCTTACAATCCAAGCAAAGTACAAGAATCATTCTGTTCACCAAAGCTTTAAGAAGCAATTTGAGAAATAAATTCCCACTCTCTCCCACTCAGAAGCATAAGCTAGAAATCAAGGTTCAAATGACTTTAGGGAACAGGTTTTTGGTGTGACATGCTGTGTTTCCAAGCTGTGTTTTTCATCAGAAAAGTAGGCCATCCAACTATACTCATGTTTGCTTCTATTTTGGGGCCAAACGAGAAATCAGTTTTATGTAACAACGTTCATCCTTCATGTATCACAGCCTGCCTCCTGCAATCTAAAGGCAATGCTGCTTTTTTCTGTTCCTGAATGTGGGGAGGCAGTAATTGTGGGATCAATACAGTTTTGAGACTTCAGGTGGCATCTCTTATCTCAGTAACAGCTGTTTTTGCAGTTCAGGACCTCAAATCATCCACCCTTATAGCTGGAAAAAGAATTCCCTTATGCCTTTAACTTGTGTGAATCGATTTTGAATATCAGTCTCAAAGCTGATGACATGTGAGCCTCTTTTAGAGATGGAATTTATATAGATCCTGTTTGATCTTCAGACAAGATTTGCCCCTGATGTGACTTACAGTTAAAACCCGCACAAAGGATTTTACATCTGGAATGCATTATATTAGGGGTGAGGGTGACCGGCAGTCTTTTTTGACATCTTGCAATTGATTACATAGGCTGTTACTATTTTGGAGTAGGATTCAGTCTTTTATTGGCAAATTTTAGTTGATTTGGAGCTCTTCCAAGGAGACCAGCTTCCTTTAAAAAAATGGACTTTCTTCAATAAAGACAGTGATCAGAAAATACACTCGGAAGTGTGGGATAACATTTGCTTGATGCCGTCTAACCTCTGTAATCTCCCTGAAAACACATCAGAATGGATACTCTATAGAAAGCTGATGTTGTCTAACCTTCCCAGAAGCCTTGTGCAAACAAATGAGGATGGATCCTCAATAAATAGTTAATCTGGAAATCCAGAGGTTCTCCCCTCTAAATGAAGGGGGCAGGAGCTGTAGTTGGAATCAAAGGTTGACTAATACGCTACTGACTTAAAATGCTTTTCCAGAAATTACAAGAGGCATGATAAACGACCATCCCAGAAGGCAGGACCACCAACCTGTCAAAACACCTGGCATCATAATGAGATCAGGTGACCCTTTTTTGCCTGCATGCTGTTTGAACTCAAACCATGCAGGCAAAGGTACAGCCCACAAAGTGCTGATTATCACTTGCAATGTCCCTTGCAAAACACTCCACCTGACCTGATAGTTAGCTGATGGCTGGGTCTTATAAAGCACTGTGCACAGGGCTTTGCAGGCACTGCACAGAACCTCCATGTCGAACCCAACTATTTGTGAGTGACTTAATTTTATTTTAAAAATCGCACAAACACTGAAAGCAAAATGGATAGACCATGTGCCATTGGAACCAACTGTATCAATGGGATTTCATCTAGTATGAGAGCAGTAGGAATGCAAGACATGCAGATTTCTTCATCTGCTGCATTGTCTTCAAAGAAGTACAGACTAATTGACAGAAGCCCTCATTTTCCATCCTATATCATACAAATCATTTTGCATGGGACGTCTCCACCATTGACTCAAGAGTGTGCATTATTCCCATTTCCATTCCTGCTGAAATGAAATCTAGCCTGAAACAGCTTGATCACTTTGCAAAGGTCTTGCTTGGGTAAAGAGGCAGAGGGGAGAATGTTGGGAGCAATAAGAATAATTCATTTTGTTCCTCGCTGCTTACCGGGTTAATGCGCTCAAGACTAGAATTAGAAGGGCTGCCTACATTTTGCAAAAGTTTTCCCTCCTTGAACACTAACAGACCTTAAAGGCTAGCCAAATTCCTTCCACTTGCCATTGATCTACCTGGCTCTCTGCCTGGGATAAGAGCAAGTTCTGCTCGCTGAGTCATGCTTGTTTTCTCTGAGCTACTCTTGGGAAAGGCTCAAATTGCTTGTTTCTAGACCAGGAAAGCATCCCCACCCCCCAATCTAAAAATGCCATGCTTTTCTGTTAGTGCAGGTGAAGTGTAAAGAACAATGAGTACAGTGTACAAAGCTAGATTCATGGGGATGGCACTGACAAGAGTCCACAGTTGATCCAGGAACCTGGAGCCAATTCTGCAACATGCACTTCTTCTAGAAAGACTTCTGGTAGGTCCAGGATTCTCACATTGTCAGGCAAACTTGCTTATGGATGCTGCAAGAGCAGGTGAGACTCTAACAGAAACCTCTCTTCCATTTTATGCTTATATTTCTGATGGACAGATGATCTTCATGACCACAACATGTGAAATGGCTGTCTCCAACGCACCCACCTCAGCTTAACTGTGGGTTAAATTTCCAAACTGCAAGGCAGCTGGTTTGAGAGAAAACACATGAAACAGCAGTGTTTCTCAAGAAGCTACAGGACAGATGCTGTTGCACACCACCCCAATCTCTGAGCGGTCAGACTCACTCAGTAGAGACTGTGGTGTCTTTAGGATATATGGTTTTATTTACACATATATACAACCTGAGCATAGGATGGAAGGGCTCACAGCATTGGCAGCCCCAACAGATCTTGCTTCCCCTTTCAGTTCCCGGCAGAGCCCTAGCACAGAGCAGCACAAAGCTAAATATGTGTCTCTGACACTTCTTGCATTCAGCTTTTCCAGCTCACTCACTCACACAGCTCTCTAGACCAGTTCACCTTGGACCTATTGTTTTCCATCACTCAGTTGTAGCTATTGCGACCTCTTTGGACGTGTAAATCATGTTATTTAACTAGTCAGCCAAAGCCATTACCTAGACCAGAGGCTTTCAACCTTTTTGAGTCTACAGCTCTCTTGACCAATTACATTCTTTCTGTGACACCCCTGTGGGGCCCAGGAGCTCAGTTATGTCACCCCCTGCCTGCAGAGCTCTCACCTTTTTTCAAACACCCTCCCTTGTGGAGTGTTCCCTCAGTCCTCTCAACTTCTCTCTCCTTGGGAGTCCTCTGGGCAACCACAGCTGCCACCCCCTGGTCTCTGAGCTGCTCCCCCTGCCCCAAAGAGAGGTGCCTCCTCACCATGCCCCACAGGAGCCTGGGAAACACCCCCTGGCTAGCCCCAGAGGTACCGTTTACCTGGGGAGCTTGTAGCCAGGGCTGCTGCCAGAAACAGCTGTGCAAGCCTTCGGGAGGCAGAGATGCGAGAGGCACTGGCGGGTGGGGGGGCGGATCACCCCAGGTGCCATCCAGGAGGGGGGTGACATCACAGCCAACCCTGCCCTCGCCCACCGGGATGCTTGACGCTCAACCCTCACCCCCTGATGCACGCCGCTTGCTGCGCACCCCCAGTGCGCACCAGACCCCCTGGGATGCGCGCCAGCTACGCCCCAGGATGTACGCCGCTCCCGGTGCTGGAGCAGGTAGCTTCGCCACTGGTGAGAGGGCAGCAGAAGAGGGAGAAAAAGAAAGAGGGCCAGAGGCCAGTGTTGAAAACCACTGACCTGGACAAAGGAACTGGTTTGGCAAGCTTGCCCTTATACCAGTACATTTCTCCCCTCCACACACACACACATGCAGGATCACAGTTTTGGAAGGCATGCAGGGTATCATCCAGACTACCCTTGCCCAGAAAAAAATCATAACACTATGGGTTGTGGCTCCAATGTGCTCCCACTGGTAGTGTTTGAAGCTTTGTACAGTACATGCTATGTGTACAAAGCTTCAAACACTACCAGTGGGAGCACATTGGAGTCAGAGTAAATGGTAATGTATACTCAGCCTAGTAGATGTGTACAGCAACAGCTAGCTATCAGCCATAAAAGCCCACTAAAGAAACCTATTCAAGCTACTAGTTCTCACTGAGGACACTTCTTTAATTATCAACTAAACAACAACAAAAATAATAATAAGGGCATCTCATCCCTTTGTGGCCTTGGCAGTATTATTAAAGAAGATCACAGTAATACGGGATAATGTCAGCTCTGGCACAGTTTCCTTCAGGGTTCATTATATTGAACAGAGCAGGCAGTTCCTTGCAAACAACCAGGTCTAGGTATATTTTGAGCTAAATTGCTGGAACGTTACCAAGATGTCTGCACAGTTCCCAGGACGTCTGATAAATACAGGAGACTTCGTTCTGGGTGGTGCCAGTGGCATTGGTTTTAGAGCATAAAAGCTACAAAATATGCGGAAGTCCTTGCTTCTTGGAAAGAGCAGAACATGGCATGTTGCCTCCTCTGACTATTTTTTAAGCCATGCATGAACTCTCACCTGCTTCTGAACTGGGTGGCAGTTTATAACATGGTCAAAGCCTCTGTTTTTGGTGTAAATGATTAGGATTAAAGTAATCACAAAACATTTAACAAAGCCAACTAGAACTGATGTCGTGAATCACGTGAAGGAAATGTGACCTCTCTTGCTTAAAGAAAAAGAGAGAGCGATTTCCTTCGGCCTCTTTTAAGCTTGTGCATGCAAATATGGGGATTTTGGTGTACATAGTATGCTTGCCAAACCATTAATTCTCAAATGCAGGATGGGATCCATCAGAGGGTCATGGTGAGGCAGCAATAAACGGTTGAATCGGTCTCAGCTGTTAATTTAGCAGTTCTGTCTTTTTGGGTGATGATGGGTGACTGAGCCATTCTGGATGTTAGAACTTCCTAGTAAGGAAAGTGTCAGCAGGGTGATGGCTGGCTGGGCACTATTTATTCTGCTGGCTGGTTTTTGTACTGACCATCAGCTCAGGGATCATCACAGTCTCTTTGTGGCTTGACCATATCAGATATTACGAATTGGCATGTCTGAAAATGCCTCCAGACTGTCACTATTTTGTGGGTGGAATTCTGGCACCTACTAGACTGTTAGGTTTCTACATGTAAAGTGGATTAAAGGGCTCTATTGACCTAGTGCAACAAATCCACTTAAAAATAGATCTTTTCTTTCCCCCAGCTTGGAAACTGATGGGGAAATGCATTGGAAAGTGTGTGATCAACGAATCACTAATCGGAAGATGTGTGAACACCCCACAAGCAAACCATAATAAATGCTTAGTTAAACTCCAGATTATAATCTAACCTCCATGTAAGCTTTGTGCAACCAAATCGGGTTGAATGCTCAACAAATAAATTATCTGGAGGGACTCTCGCAGTTGCAAATCTGGAAGCATATTATCTGATTATGCTTTCTGTCTCTCTCTCTCTCTCTCTCTCTATGCTTTCTGTCTCTCTCCTTGCCTCTCTCCATCCCGCCACGTCTTCTATAAAGAAACCTCATCATACTGGGCCTATGCCCAGACAGCAGCCAGGGCTTCCAGCTGTGGAGTCCCTTCTCTGCTGAGTCATGGTTGTCACCTCCCTGCAGAAACAGGCTGAGCAATGTGGAGTGATGATCCGTGTCAACCATCAGTGGATGCTAAGCTGGACCTACAGCCTTCCTGTTAATAACAATAATAACGAACAAATAATTTAATAATAACGTTCACAAATGAAGTACACTCCTTCTGGGATCCGGTACTTCCTTAAATCGATACGCTCGTTATATCATTCACATGATCAAGCAGAAGGTGGTTTTTTAAAAAAACAAACCAACTCAAATTCTGTTCAGTGATGAGGGAGAACTGTAGATGTAATGTTTGGAAGTAGCCAGAGATTGAATTCCTACTTTCTTCATTCCAGGAAACAAAAACTGGGTGGTAAGCGCGTGTGTGTGTATAACAAGTTATGATTTTATGCAACAAGCTGGCCTCTGCTGGGGAAGGGTATTCAGAGGCTTTGGGGAAGAGAGCAGAGAATTACCAACACGGCCCTTTTTGTAATTTCTCTTTTACCTTCAAGTTGCTGTGTGTGATTTACACATGCACACGCACACACAGTGTTCAGGAAGCTTCATAAATCGATTAACAGCATACTAATGAGAAGGGGGAGAATTTGGACTACCTTCAAAAGTGTAATAGAAACTTAGGCACCCATTTTATGCCGTCTTGATCTGCTCTCCACTTGCATTTGTTTATTCGGAAAAAATCCTGGAGCATCCTGTTCTGGAATGATTCTTATCTATTGTTCTTATTTATAGTTTCAGCTCAATGACCTGCAATTGAATCTGTGTTCTTCCAGCTCTGTTTCCCTTTAACTTTGACAGAAAATTGAGTCCCCTGTGTATTTAAACAAACAATGGGCTGGTTTTCAGACATCTTATTTCCGAGCGGGTGAAATGAGTTTACAGTCTTTACCTCTTCAATTTCCGTGTGCTTGTGTGGAGCAGAGCACCCCAGTGCCACATGTAGAAGCCGGAAGTTTCCGGCAACTAGAGAGAACGATCAGCCTCTCTGTCACGATGAGCCATTATTTCATGCCTGCGCGAGGCAAACATTTTCCCACACAAAACTGAATAGAGAAGTAACCAAGTTGGAAGAGCTTTAACGGCCTCAGAAATCATCACAAAAAAGGAAAGAAAGAAATCATCATTGAGACTTGGAGCTCACATTATTTTACCACAGGGTGCTGCCAAAAACAGCATGGTTTGGTAAATTACCCATTTCTCATATTGTAGCCTATTACAAAACTCTTACTATGTGGAGTGAAGCTGTCATACAGTGAGTTCCCCAACCCCATGAGTGCACAACATGATTCCTGCCTACATTAAAATGGTCGCCTCTGAGGAGTGCTGCTTTCTGAGGTCAGCACTGGCCCAGATATTTGAAGCTGCCATTCCTCTCCAGGACTTTGGTAACTGTAGCTCTGCTACAGCTTCCAGTATTCTTTGGGGGAAGTCGCATGCTTTCATGTGCTTTAAAATGTATGGTGTGTACTCAGCCTACATTTCCTCAAAAAGGACTGAATGTTATGCTTTGTCTTGTATCTGTCAGTCAAAATGCATATTAAAATAAGATTGGACAAAATGAAGGCAAAACTTTGTCAAGACGCAAGATTTATTGGTGTACATATTTATTTGTAAACAGAATAACTTTGCCATCCAAACCAGCGCTCAAAATGACTTACAACCAAAGACTTAAAAACAACAGTACTAATCTCATAAAAGTCACAATAAAAATAAAAAAAAACCTCAAACATAATTTTTATTTTTATTTTTAAAAAAGGATGATTTTAAACAGTTAAGAACTCCTGCCGCATAAGAACACACGCAGAATGTTTTAGGAAAATTGGTTTAACTTTGTGTAATGTTGGGCATGCTCCAAAATGAAAGACAAATCAGAAACCAGGCTCCGGGCTAAACTGGCAGCCATCTCTTCATGGAAGGCACATGTTAAAATAGCTATTTTATTTCCAGAGCTACTGATGAAACGAGATCCTGATCCTGCACTTGCAGGGTTGGGCATGTGGCCAGAGAAAACTCTCTTCAAAAAAAAAAGGCGTTCCAAATAGGATGTGTGTCAGATCATCTGCGCTGCAAAGAATGGAATGCAGACCTCCGGGCCTCCTAAAGGAGTGGCAGGATTAAGTGGACCCACATTGCAAAATGCAGACAAATAAACATCCACAGGAGCCACTCCGGGACTCTGCAACTTGTGACCCACCAAGAAGAATGAAGTCAGCCGGCTATGTCCGCAGCCTGCCATGTCGCGGCCAGTCCCTCTGGTTTTAAAGTCTCAAGCAGGCACCAAAAGCTGGGCATTTATAGAGAGCCATACAGTCGCCGGGGCACATACATGGGAGAGTGGGCCACCCTCAGTACAGAATGCAGGACTAGATGGGCCTTTGGCCTGATCCAGCAGGCCTCTTCTTATGTTATGTGCCCATGATGAGACTGGCATCAGTTGCTAGTTTCCAGTTCCTTATTCCTACTTCACAAGGGACCACAGGAACACAGTTCCTTATACCAACTCAGACCAGTGGTCCATCTAGATTAGTATTGTCTACCCTGACTGGCTTGTCTCTCTACTTATTTAACTTATATGCAGAATTCATCATGCGAAAGGCTGGGCTGGATGAATCCCAAGCCGGAATTAAGATCGCCGGAAGAAATATCAACAACCTCAGATATGCAGATGACACAACCTTGATGGCAGAAAGTGAGGAGGAATTAAAGAACCTTTTAATGAGGGTGAAAGAGGAGAGCGCAAAATATGGTCTGAAGCTCAACATCAAAAAAACGAAGATCATGGCCACTGGGCCCATCACCTCCTGGCAAATAGAAGGGGAAGAAATGGAGGCAGTGATAGATTTTACTTTCTTGGGCTCCATGATCACGGCAGATGGGGACAGCAGTCACGAAATTAAAAGACGCCTGCTCCTTGGGAGAAAGGCGATGACAAACCTAGACAGCATCCTAAAAAGCAGAGACATCACCTTGCCAACAAAGGTCCGTATACTTAAAGCTATGGTTTTCCGAGTAGTAATGTATGGAACTGAGAGCTGGACCATAAAGAAAGCTGATCACCGAAGAATTGATGCTTTTGAATTATGGTGCTGGAGAAGACTCTTGAGAGTCCCATGGACTGCAAGAAGATCAAACCTATCCATTCTTAAGGAAATCAGCCCTGAGTGCTCACTGGAAGGACAGATCTTGAAGCTGAGGCTCCAATACTTTGGCCACCTCATGAGAAGAGAAGACTCCCTGGAAAAGACCCTGATGTTGGGAAAGATGGAGGGCACAAGTAGAAGGGAACGGCAGAGGACAAGATAGTTGGACAGTGTTCTCGAAACTACCAGCATGAGTTTGACCAAACTGCGGGAGGCAGTGAAAGACTGGAGTGCCTGGCGTGCTCTGGCCCATGGGGTCACGAAGAGCCGGACG